TACACGGATACATGATCAGTTATTCTTTTCTTAATACTAGTTTGAGCCTGTGGAATAAATACTGCAGCAGCTGTTCTGCCAGAGATAGGGTCTTTAGAACCATCAGTATATATATGTAACCACGATGGATAAGTCTGATCTAAATACTGCTGTGCAATAATGTTCTTAGGGGTTTCTTTCTCATTCTTAATTTTTATTTGTATTTGAAAATCGACTATTGGCACAGGAAACATCCACAGTGGTATACTGGATAATATCACAGTAGGGCTAACATCACAGTCTGCAATACCAACAACTTGTGCTTCCCTTTTAGCAATCCATCCAAAGCTTTTAATATTTTTGTTTCCATGCTCCCAGCATTCTTCAATCACACCCTTTACTGGATGACTCTCTTTATGTCCTAACGCTAATCACTAAAAAGCTGTCACTCACTTCAATTTATCGCAATCTCACGATTCCGTGATATGAAGCTCTCAGAACTGCAAATAATATCTTATTTACATCGTGTCTGTGTGGCGTTTAGCATTCAGTGAATTCTGACTGTGTCACCCTGTATCTATTTATATATTTCTTTATTAATATCTTCATATATTATTATATCTTATATTAATCATTTGCACACACGAGCATTATCCGGCTCCGCTCCTCCCGACCGCAGACGCAGGTTTACAAGCCACTTTTTCCTGCGTTTTTCAGTCAATTTCTTGACTTTTCCCCACTCATGAACAACACATTTTCATACACGATAAAAGCTCCTTGTGGTTTCTCGGTTTGGTCGATTTGAGCATCCATAAACAATGCAAAACACAGGCATTTTGAGTTTTGTTAGTGATTCCTATGGAGAAAAATCACTTCCTGCCCTCCAGCTGCATTTCGCACGTCATCAGTGACGTCATGTGCAAACAACCTATTCAGCTTTTAGATGATGTATAAATCTCAATTTCGAAAAATTTACCCTTATGACTGGTTTTGTGGTCCAGGGTCACATATATATAATTTTTTTTTTTTTTTTTGCAAACAAAGAATGAATGTTATTGTTCTTTCTTGACGTTAGTTTTTTAATAGTTTAATTTTTGAATGCAAAAAAAACAAACAAAAAGGGTCTATTTTTATTAATTCTAATGATTTATACAATGACAATATTAAACAATAATCTAAACATTTTGGGGTGAATGTCTTTGCTAGAGGTCTCTCTAATAGTGACATTGTATGACTAAACTATCTTTGACTTGGCATATTTGATTATTTTTCATCGTGATGTGCAGTGGAGGGATCACTGGATGCAGAGTGTCTACTTCCTTCCTGCAGAGGAGAATGTGTCCGAAGGAGAAGAGCTTCATTTAATCGTCTCCCATGATGACTACAGTCTCTGGTACAGTCTTACGCAGAGGTAAGGTGATTTTGAGCAGTGTTTGTTTAGGCATGATAACCAGTTCTCAGCTTTAACTGAGACAGAACATACACAGTCTCTGAGGAAGACTGTTTTATATATATACAGTTTTTTTTTCTGTTTTATAGTGAACAAAATGATGTCAAAGTGGCAAAGTTTCGACCATGCTGCACCTGTCAGGCCCACCTGGTCTGGACGAGGCCTCGCTTCGGGGAACTGAACGACGAACAGAGGACAGAGAGTTACGTGAACGCATTACGTAGTGTAAGCCAACTAATGATTTACATGTGAGCTTGAAGCGCTGCTTTCTGTTGACTGGAAATGGCTCAAAATTGAGTGTGTTTTCTGTATGCTTGCAGATTCTGAAACCAGACAGTGTATGTTTGTCTGTCAGTGATGGGAGCCTGTTACCTATTTTTGCTCATCTGCTTGGATCTAAAAAGGTGAGTAGGCCTTTTCTTTTTTTTTCTTTTTTTTTGCATGAGTCAGAAGGTTCTCAAATTAGCGAGCTCCTTTCTCCCTACACAGAAAGCTGCCTTCTGAGGCAGCATCCTAAGCTTCATGGGAACTTTTAAGTAAGTTATATGCAACTCTATGCACTAGATGACTTGATTTCAGTTGCGTTTGATGATAGCATGTTGCTAAGCTATTAATGCAATGTTGGGTAAATAATCTGTTTTGAGCTAAACTAAACTATTTTTATTGAGTAAATTATAAGCACCACACAACTTTCAGTTGACTTCAGTAGAGTTTGATGTTAGCATGTTGCTAAGCTAACAATGCAGTGTTGGGTTTTGAATGAAAATAAACTATTTTTAGCAAGTAAATAGTACATTTTAAATAAATTATAAGCAACTTGTGCACTACACTACTTGAAATTGATTTCAATAGAGTTTGATGTTAGCATATTGCTGAACTGATTGTGCAATATTGGGCTGTTGTTCACTGACGAGCTGCGCAAAAAATTGCGTGAATATGAACATGATTTTGCGCAACTCGTCAGTGAACAACGGCTCTGTGTAGATTTACCACTGATTACAGAACCGTCTTTACTGACAAGATGCGCATTAAATATCGCATGCGATTTATCGTGCAGCCCTAGTATAGACCGTGATGCCCTCTATATATGTACTCTAAAGCATTTGTAGAGTTTCAGAGACTCTGCAGAATCTGAATTTATCACAACAACAAATACACTACCATTCAGAAGTTTAGGGTCAGTACGATTTTGTATTTATTTTAGTGCTGTCAAAAGATTAATTGCGATTAATTGCATCCAAACCAAAAAAATGTTTTTGTTTATGTAATATACGTGTGTGTACTGTGTATTTTTATTATGTGTATATATAAATACACACACATACAGTATATATTTTGAAAATATTTACATGTATATATTTATATAATTTATATTATATATATATTTAATATACCAATATAAATATTTTTCTTAAATGCATACATGCATGTGTGTGTATTTATATATACATAATAAATATACACCGTGTACACACGTATATTATGTAAACAAAAACTTTAATTTTGGATGCGATTAATCGT